GCGCAACTTGTTGTATCATGGAAAAACGCGAAAGTCCAAAAAAACACCTCTTTTAGCCACGTATTGGGCTGCACGGCGGCGGGCTTCCAGGGCCGCGTTGAGGGGCCCTATACCACCACCCATGGCTGCTTGTGGACTTATTTTAGGTTTGGACCCCCGCACGGACAGAATGGGCAAGAAAAATGTGAAAAAAATGTAAATGCAATAATTTAGCTCCTGGGTGACCAGCACACCTTGGCACTATGCCGGAATTTTTTACCATATGAAATTTATGACCAGGTTGCTACCTTAACAGGAAAATAACACAATGTCTGTGAAACACGAGCCACAGAGTACTACGCGTCTGGTTATAACTAATAGCTTCATGCCAGATGGCAATCTTCAGACAACTGATAACAATGCTGCACAGCTAGTATGGTATTGTATGCAGTGGAATGAGGGAATGTGTGACGGTTTGAGGTCTGGAGGGTGTGAAAGGTCCTGGAGGGATAATGTGCCACACTCCTTGAGTCATGTGAGTGAGAAAAGAAAATAATTATGACAGCAGGAAGGCAAGCAGGGCAATGCGAACGATAATGTGACTTTTCTACAATCACATGCAGGTGCAAGATGCCGCGCGCTTTGGTAAACGCCTGGAATAGGTTAGAGGTGGGGAGAAACCCACCTTCAATGTACAAACAAACAGGTCACGCAAGGTGAAAATTTCCACGGGCTCAGCCTGTGATGGCTACAGGCGCTTAGAATGGGGTTAAAGAAATGGCTGCAACCTGCTCTCACTTTGCAAGTGAGTAAGCACTGTCTCCCCGGTGAAAAGGCCTCTTTTACGGGCAAAGTGAAGCACAATCATCACCATGTATCAGTCAAGTGAATAGTTTAACCCAACACGAATGAAAATGAGATATAGAATATAAAATTGTATAGCACATTAGAGCTTGCGGTAATGTAGGTTAAAGGGGAAGTTAAGGCAAAAATTAAAATTTCACCAGTTGTAGTCTTCGGGGTGCTGAGTCGAATGGTCTTGGTCCGAGAAAGCTGAGACGCTCCCTTCCTACTTGAATCCCAATCGAACTCGCGCACTTCCACCGAAACTGGGTGACTGCGCCCTACTAGATGGGGATTTGTATGCAAAATGTCACTAAAAGCGCCATTTCGTTCTTATAAAAGCACGGATGACCGCGATTGGCCCATATGTTGTAGTCTTTTGGACGCCGAGTCGACTGGTTTTGGTCCGAAAAGGCTGCGATGCAGCGTTCCTCCTTTATTCCCAATCGAACATGGTTGAACAAGCCGTCACGTGCTCCTGCGTACACCAGTCAGCTGGTCACCGTGCCTTCAGGGTACAACTTACAGCCTGTTTTGACCTTTTTTGGGTGCAGTCCTGTCACTCGAGTTGAACCTTGGTGTGAAAGTTGTCGCCTGCTGGCGTGGTGACCAGGTGATTTTGGCACCCTGGAGCACGTGACCGCTTCTTCAACCATGTTCGATTGGGAATAAAGGAGGAACGCTGCATCGCAGCCTTTTCGGACCAAAACCAGTCGACTCAGCGTCCAAAAGACTACAACATATGGGCCAATCGCGGTCATCCGTGCTTTTATAAGAACGAAACGGCGCGTTTAGTGACATTTTGCATACAAATCCCCATCTAGTAGGGCGCAGTCACCCAGTTTCGGTGGAAGTGCGCGAGTTCGATTGGGATTCAAGTAGGAAGGGAGCGTCTCAGCTTTCTCGGACCAAGACCATTCGACTCAGCACCCCGAAGACTACAACTGGTGAAATTTTATTTTTTGCCTTAACTTCCCCTTTAACACATTGCACAAGCCACCACTTCACACGCGCTCCAGCGGCTTCCAAAGAGCCCGCAGATCCCACGCTATTCATTGATGCATGTCAAGTAACACGCACATGCACGCTGCGGTGGCATGTAACATGCGTACGCCGGAACTCACCTGAACTCGCCAGCCAACCAGCCATATGCGGCTGCAGCACACATCGGAGCTTGAACCCGTAACGCATACACCATACTTCGCGCTGGCCACATTGCTACTTCATATTTGCTTTGCTTGCGCCGTGAGAAGAACACCGGTTTGTTCCTTTCTCACAGTTTCTCGGCTTTTCGGATCTTGCAACTCCCTGACCTCACCATTCGCTATGCCTCGACGGACTAGGACTAGTAGCAGGACTGCTGTTCCCGAGGTAGCTGCCCCTGCCTCCTCTCAACCTCCGAGCCTGAGCGATTCCGCCACAGATCCGGCCTCGCGAAACAACTTCCCACGCGGTCCGCCAGCGGCGTCCGTCTCCCAGAGCGCTGTTGCTCCACAGGTTGCAATGCCTGAACCCCCGGCGCAACAATCAGTGATCCCGGCCGAAAGCCTTCGAGCCACGATCGCAGAAGCGCTGACTGAAACACTGCCAGCGATTCTGGATTCCCAGCGCCGCGCCATGGCCCCACCACCGGCTACATCCGCGATCAGCACCACAACAACAGAAATTGCATCGGAACCGGTCGCAGCTACCTGGCGGCCACGATCAGCGGAGCAGCAGCTCCCTACCACCACCATCCCGCAGAGGACACGGGACAGAATCCTTGCCGGTGAGTTCCTAGATTTGTCTGAGTTGTTGGTGGACCCGGTTGGATTAGCCCCAAACCCCTCCAGCACAGGTGTGCAGATGCACCTTATGGACGGCACACCCGTGCGCCTAACGCAGGAGTTCTCGCCCAAAGCCTCCACACGGCGCCACGTGTGCGATCTTGCGACGTGGCTGGAGGCTTGGACGGTGGTGCTCCACACCATCCTGCAAGCAGCTCCGGAAAGAGCCTCCGAACTAGTCGGGTACCAGGCCATCATCACGGAAGCCAACCGGAAATTTGTCCCGGATGGCTGGCTCGAGTATGATCGGCAATTTCGCCGCGCGGCGGCTAGCAACCCTGCCCGTCGCTGGGATGTGATCGACCATAATATATGGCAGCTGAGCACTACCGGCAAGGCTCGAACTCCGTGCTTTGCATGCTCGCTTGTTCACCCCCATCCGCTGGGGGGCAGTGTCCCTTTCGTCCCTCTAGAGCCACACCATTTGGCGGCGCACATTCCTCACCCTCAGTCGGTGGCCGCCCAATTTGCCGGAATTTCAACTGGGCCAGATGCCAAGGGGGATGCGGGAGAGCGCACCTATGCCTGCAATGCCAAGGCCGCCACCCAAAAACGGCCTGCACTGCCAACCCCGCGAGCACACGGCCCAGCACATCAGCGCCACCTGCCAAACGGTCAGGCAAGTAAGTCACCTGTGCCGGGCCCCGACACAAGCATGGCGGGACGCCATGCCACTAGCCCTGCTTCCGCGAAGCAGGCATGTACAGACAGTAGTAGTAACTCACAGTTTCCCCCGCTCGCCTTCCCTGCTCTTGATTCCAGTATGCCATGCATTCACACACCCATTGATGTTGCCCGCTTTACTAGACTGCTCACTGATCATCCAGACAAGGCATTCTCCTCCCGCGTGAGCAGGGGCCTACAATCTGGATTCCGCATAGGCTTCTCTGGTCGCCGTCAGACTGTGACAGCCCCAAATCTTCCCTCATCTGTTGAACATTCCGTGTACATATCTGATTACCTAGCAACATCCTGTGCGCAGGGAGAGACCTGCGGCCCTTATTCCACCCCTCCATTTCCATCCTTCCAGTGCTCGGGCATTGGTGTGGTGCCCAAGAAGAATGGTAAACTACGCATTATCCACCATTTATCAGCTCCCGTCGGCAATAGTGTTAACGATGGCATCGACCCGTCCGCGTTTAGCCTGTCATATATCCGGATAGACGATGCAGTGCAAACAATTATGGCCTACGGGCAGGGTGCATTGCTGACAAAGCTGGACATCCGCAATGCATTCCGGCTAATCCCTGTGCACCCGTCCGATTGGTCTCTACTGGGTATTCAGTGGCAAGGGCAATATTACTTTGACCGAGTGTTGCCGTTCGGCCTACGCTCCAGCCCGTTTCTATTCGACCAGGTTGCCAGTGCCATTGAGTGGATCATTACTACTAACTTTGCCATCCCTCACCTCCTTCACTATCTAGACGATTTTCTTAATATCAGCCCTCCTCAGCGAAGCCTTGCTATCCAGGCAAAGGACGTCATCCTGCAAGCATTCGAATACCTATCAATCCCACTAGCCGAAGAAAAGCTCGAGGGCCCGTCCACATCCCTGGTCTTCCTCGGAATTGTGCTGGACACGGTGCGCATGGAAGCCCGTCTCCCAGACGACAAACTGGCGGACCTCCGCGAGCTCCTCAGCGAGATGTCACGCTGCACCCAGACCACGCAACGCAAACTCGATCACTTCCTGGGGAAACTCTCCTTTGCGTCGAGCGTCGTCGTACCAGGCAGAACATTTACACGGCGCTTATGGGATATCAACAAGAGGTTTAGCCGCGCCAAGCCCTATTTCCGTATCACTCTGACAGGCGAGGCCAGGAAAGACATCCGCTGGTGGCAGCTTCTGATCCAGCACTGGAACGGGAAGGCATTCCTCCTCTATAACAGCAGTACATCGTCGGCCGACCTTGGACTGTACACAGACGCTAGCGGCACTCTCGGCTGGGGCGCATTCTACGGCAAGGAGCAGCGCTGGATCCAGGGCAGATGGACAAAGGAGCAAGAAGAAGAGAGCATCGGATACAAAGAGCTCTATGCCGTGGCGATGGCTTGCAGTACTTGGGGCCATCTGTGGTCCCGGCAACGTATCGTAATGCATTGCGACAATCAGTCCGTTGTCGAATGCGTGAAGTCAACCTCCAGCAAGTCACCAGGCATGATATCACTGCTGCGTGCATTGTTCTTCGTTTGTGCAACTCACAGCTTCACCATTACTGCCAAATATGTACCTGGCCATCTGAATTCGATCGCCGATGCTCTGTCTCGTTTCAACCTGCAGGCATTCCAGCAGCTGGCACCATCGGCACGGCAAGCCCCGGACACTGCAATCCACCTCCCCCTCCTGGACTGATGCGGGAGGTCGCCGACCTGGCAGCCATGGCAATCGCCCCGACAACGCGGCGCACGTACACCACTGGCGAAAGGAAGTTTACGCAATACTGTGCGTTGCAGAGATGGACGCCCATGCCGGCTACAGACACGATGCTCAGCTGCTTCGCAGCACACCTCACGCAATCGGTTCAACCACAGACAATTCACGTCTACATGGCCGCAGTACGCAACATGCATCTCGAAGCCGGATTCCGAGATCCAACGATGAACGCGTTGCTGCTGCCACGTGTTATGCGAGGCATCAAGAGGACGGTGACTGACCCAGCAACCCAGCGCACTCGCCTCCCAATCACCATTGATTTGCTGCGGAAGCTCCTCAACCAACTCAGCCTGGACCAACGGCGTCACCAGCAGGACAAGTGCATGCTCAAGGCGGCAATGGTGCTCGCCTTTTTCGGATTTCTCCGATGCGCGGAATTCACTGCGCCTCCGGCCGGGTTTGACCCTGCCACTCATGCCACGCGCCAGGATGTGACTCTGGACGTCACTCAAGGACGCACATATATCCGCTTCCACATCAAGCAATCGAAGACGGACCAATTCCGTCAGGGACATGCAGTGATAATCGGTAGTACCACTTCACAACCTTGCCCGGTTGCTGCCCTCCTGGCATATTTTACAGTCTGTCCGTCTGACGCCGCTGACGCACTCTTCCGCTACCGCTCTGGGAGACCGCTGACCAGGCAGGCGCTGACAGAAGAGCTCCGACAGCTCCCACTCACGGGAACACCCAATTCGCGCGATTACGCCGGTCATTCGTTCCGCATCGGTGCCGCCACAACGGCAGCCATGGCGGGTACCCCTGACTGGCTAATCAGGGCAATGGGCCGATGGAGGAGCGACAGCGTCTTGCGCTACATCAGGACCACCGACACAGACATGGCGCAGCTGACCCAAAAGCTGTCAGAGGTACAAGCGCATCACAGAACGCATTGAGGTATGTAAGAACCCGCCACGCGGGCACGCAACTCGCACCCATGCATGTACCCACACGGCTGACTGTTTGGTACAGCACAGCAACTTGCTCTGCTAGGATTGTGCTGACAAAATGCGCTGATAGCAACAACAGTGTCATTCACGTGCATTGCAATATGTCACAACTTAGCATGGAGGCTGGGCAACCATGGGCCAGCTATCTCCTCTCATCTGGCAATTATCACGGCCTTCGGCCATCACACTCATACTCCCACACTCCTGCCTCCTAACGGGCATTGCACTTCGTGCGTGGGCCGTCCACACTCCGTCCATTTCATGGGCGCCCATCTCATGGGCTGCACTTTGTGCGTGGACATACATACACACTATCATACAGGCTGTCCACACTCCGCCCAGTTCATGGGTGCCCATTTCATGGGCTGCACCTCGTGCGTGGACTATCCTACATGATTATCACATGCCAGATTCGGTTGCCCAGCACTCCATGAATCCTCCATATGATGTGTGCTCTCCATTGGTCTGCAATAGCGAGTGCATGCGTGTTAATAGCACATTAGAGCTTGCGGTAATGTAGGTTAACACATTGCACAAGCCACCACTTCACACGCGCTCCAGCGGCTTCCAAAGAGCCCGCAGATCCCACGCTATTCATTGATGCATGTCAAGTAACACGCACATGCACGCTGCGGTGGCATGTAACATGCGTACGCCGGAACTCACCTGAACTCGCCAGCCAACCAGCCATATGCGGCTGCAGCACACATCGGAGCTTGAACCCGTAACGCATACACCATACTTCGCGCTGGCCACATTGCTACTTCATATTTGCTTTGCTTGCGCCGTGAGAAGAACACCGGTTTGTTCCTTTCTCACCCACCCACCTCTTCCCATCTATGAATAATATTGATATCCTTGATTCAACACAGGTATCATAATTCATACAAGACGAAAATAAATAGGAGTGCTGGGCCAGCTATCTCCTCTCATCTGGCAATTATCACGGCCTTCGGCCATCACACTCATACTCCCACACTCCTGCCTCCTAACGGGCATTGCACTTCGGGCGTGGGCCGTCCACACTCCGTCCATTTCATGGGCGCCCATCTCATGGGCTGCACTTTGTGCGTGGACATACATACACACTATCATACAGGCTGTCCACACTCCGCCCAGTTCATGGGTGCCCATTTCATGGGCTGCACCTCGTGCGTGGACTATCCTACATGATTATCACATGCCAGATTCGGTTGCCCAGCACTCCATGAATCCTCCATATGATGTGTGCTCTCCATTGGTCTGCAATAGCGAGTGCATGCGTGTTAATGGAATATTTAAGGATTTTTATGTTATTCAAAATCGATTTTCGTGTTCCGCTCATCAGTGAATAGTGTCTATTATACTCTTTATTGCACTGATAAAATTGCTTTCTACATGCCGACTCTTTAAATACCTTAAGCGGAGATACAATAGTGAACAGATAGTTGTTCTGAACAAAGCCTTGCGGAAACGCCATGTTTGTCGTAGTATTGCACTAAATATGCTGTTATAAAATGTTCTTTTTTGTACACAGTACCCTCAGTTCCGATACTATTCACTAATGAGCAGAACACGAAAATCGATTTTGAATAACATAAAAATCCTTAAAAATTCCATTAACTCGTTGTTGTCTGGCCATGTCTGCATCTATTATACTCTGTATTGCACTTGTTAGGTACCTCCGCCCGTGCTACTCACGTACGTCATTCTCACCTTTCGTTCCGTTGGCCTGGGTAGCTACTTTTGCACCCATGTTTGCCATAGCTACCCAGGCCTTATATATTGCGTCAACTCTCTTCGAATCTCTCTCTCTCTACTTTCTTCGAATCTCTCCGAGTCTCTCTTTCACAATGTAGTCGTTTAGTTCCTCTTTCTCTCCGTCTTTCCGTCTATGATAAATGTCTTCCCACTACTAGTACCTGTCCCCAGTTGTTCCTTTGTGTCTGGGATGGTGAGTCCTTCTATGACTCAACATTGGCGCCCGGCTTTTGCCGAAGCCCACGACCCTGGGATTCTCGTGCTCTACCGACTGGCAGCATAATTCGTCTCTTCCATATCAACCTCGTCTCTTCTACGCCAACTTCGTCTCGTCCATGTCACCTCGTGTCTCCTACGCCAACCTCGTCTCGTCTATGTCAACCTCGTCTCTCCTACGCCAACCTCGTCTCGTCCCTGTCAACCTCGTGTCGCCTATGTCCACCTCGTCTCGTCATGCAGGTCAGCTACCTTTCTCTCTTTCTTTTTTTTTTGTATGCGTTCCTTCTTCGTCAATTTTTTTTATTTGTTTCGTGAATTATTTTGTAGTGTGTGTGCGCGCGTGTGTTCATAAAACATTACCAAGTTAGGGGTCCGATCATGGTGAGCCACGCTCTTATTTTTGGATGTTTAGCAAAAGTGTAACTAGGCTGTATTAGCCGTGCAAAATAGTAGTAATTCACGTTCCTCGTCAAACCCCAATAGTTATTACACACTATAAGTAGTACAGGAACGTTGTAATGATCTGTGGTGCATTTAGTGCATCCTATCACCTATTCGGCAACTAACGTCCATTCTAATTGCATTTCCTCCTCGTCTCCCTATTTCTTTCCAGAAAATCTCCCTATACATCAGGGAGTCGTACACATAATACTTGGTCCGGCTAATCGCAATTGTCGCTTATCTATCGCCACCAAGAACAGGAGTTTTGTGGCCGCTCTGTGAAATTTTCAATAGGCATAGTGAGGAAGCATGATACTTGAATACTCTCCGCCAAAAGAAAAAAATTCAGCCATGGAATCAGATGAAGCGAGTCATAGAAGGGAAGCAAGGTAAGCAAAATGCACGAAATAAATCAGCGAAGGAGCGCGTTCTTGCATTCACACCCTCACAGGTCCAGAGTTCATTCAACTCTCCATCACTCGAGCAGCCGCCGTTACATGAGCTGTAAATTGCTGGTGTCTAGCTGCTAGCGACTGGTAGAGTATCTCTTTCTTTGTCAGCCTGTCGTATGGCAGCAATGGGAAAGGAACAGTTGTGTCTGTCACTCCGGTGCTTGAAGGAACCGTGGGCAGTGTGACCTGTGTGTCACCACAGTGTGTTTCAACAGAGCCTTCGAATGAGGCGTACAGGCCTCTCCAGACAGCTGTCATACGCTCCACTGGATACGCTGACCACGACTCTTGTAATGCTGCTGCCAGGTCCACGAAGGACCAAAAAGAACAACCAAAACGTCCCTTGCATGCGCGTATCGCATCAAAAACACTTTTCTTCTTCAGCATGACGCTCATACTCCTGTGCTGTGCACGCGTGCCTGTCACGCTCTCCAGGATGTCAGTTGCCCCTGCTACAGTTCCGGTCTTCGGGTCGCTGCGTTTGGCTTTTGGCAACACAGACAGTGTATGGCCAGATTTCCACTTCCCAAAAAAGTCGAACACATCGCGATTCAAAGCGCTAGTCGCGATCATTTTTTCTTTGGTGCCTCATTTTATGTTGCCATCACAACCTCCCAAGCAAAAGTAAGTTAGACATCGTGATTGGACTGGGTTTTACCTGTCAAAAAGTGAAGTCAGCGGATGGCCCACGCCTGATAAAAAAAACAATGAGGAGTTAAATACAAAGAAAAAGAACTGAAAATACAAAAGTAAATGAGGCTCATTATCATGGGAACACCATTACCAAAGAAACTGTACTGTATTATGTACACCGTTTATGGCACCAGGGTACATTCAGCAGCCGCCAGCACAGCCGAACCAGACAGATGTCGAGGCGGGTTCCGACGGTGACCACGTAGACTGGCAACCATTGCCCGAACAAGGCAAAAGGAGATCTTCGCCCGTACAAAAGCCATCATATCCGAGAAAGGCTCACGGCGCTTTTCACACAGCTTGCTGACAATCCTGGCGAAGAGGGCCGAAGCAGCTTTCCCCTGGCCGCCAGTGGTTGCAAAAACCACGGGAACAAACGAAGAATGCTCCACCTCCAGGACTCGCTGTTCATACTTACGCCTCTTCTCCTGCTCGTGCTTTCTGTAGACAGACGGGAGAGTAAGGTTTCGCTTGGAGGGGACAAAACACCCGAACTGAACATCAAAAATTGTCCTCTCCAACCTACTCCCATACACTCCACGTGCTGCCACATCAAGATGAGCATAAGCCTCCGTGTTGGCCGACCGGAGAGGGAATGTTTCACCAGAGAGGGGTTCCAAATCTGGCTCCACGCTGACGTCATGCGCAACCTTACGCAACAGATTAGCGGTTAGATCCCGGAGCTCATTGTGGCGCATCCCAGTGAATCCTCCGATGGCACATGATAGGGCATGGGTGGTGTTGAAGGGCTTTCCACAGGTGCAGAGAGACGGCAACCGGAGAGGGGTCCAGCCGTAGCGCAGACATAGGGCACCCCGAAAGCCAGCCTTGTGGAAGGTAAACTGGAACCGGCGAGATGGCCGACTAGTGAGCCAACTGGAGGCACCTTTCTCTGCGGCTAGATCAAGAGTTCACCTGTGGTCGTCAGTCAGGGTATTCCTGAGGGGGGAGAGGGCCATTGCCTGATCTTGGCGATTAGCTGTGCGTTGGGCCGCCTTGGCTGCCTTGGTGGCAGCAACAACTTCCTCGATGGATTCTTCCTGTCGAAGGAGCTGCTCGACCAGAGGTCCGGTGATAGACGTAGACGTGTCGTACTGCTGGGAAAGGGTCCTAGGCTTGGGATTAGAATTCCCAAACCACCATGACCACACGGAAGCGCCAGGATGGCACGTTCTTCCTCGCCAGGGGCCTGGGGACCAGTCAGTGCAGGGAGGAAAACTTGGTTGATGGAGTTTTCCAGCGGTGTCAGGAGGTCCTCGATGGCTGGCATTGTCCTCGCAAGGAATGACCACTTATGGTGGAGACCATGGGTAAGGACAGCGTAAGAAGCCTTAGGTTGAGACGCCGCTTGTTTTGCGAGGGTCTGCAGCTCTGTGCGCCATGTGTCAACCTTCTGGGACA